TGAACGTAACTTCTGAGTGTAACTTCAGATATTAACTCAAATCGTTAAAATCTCTTTTTTTTTCTTTATACCATTGCCTTCAATGTTTGAGACTCTAAAAATTCCCCAAGAGACGACAAAGTGCCCAAAACTTCTTAGAAAGGTAATGACGTGAACAAACCCCTAATATTGTGAAAGCCTAAAGTTCAGTTGGGCTTTCAGTAGACTTCATTTAAAGGACAGTTCTAGAGGACTAGGCGAACTTTAATTAGTGTATTCGGATAACTCAAATGATACGATTCTGACGAGAGGACTTCAGTCAAAGGACCTTAATTAGTGAATGCTATCAGTCAGGGCCGGCCTTAGGCCACTGCAACCTATGCGGCCGCAGTGGACCCCGCACTTTAAAAGGCCCCGCGCTAAATCTAAGTGTCAATTATTAAATTAAACCACTTATAACTTTTAAATAATAAAAGGGTTTCCGTTGTCTCCTGATTTTCCAGGGCTTCCTGGAAATCTCCTGAAATTGCAAAATATACGAAAAAGTCATTAAAATTATTAAAATCTCTTTGAAAACTTATAAAAATCTCCTGAAAAATTGACAAAATTGCCATTTTGGGGTGCCAATCGTACGCGGTATTAAAAAAGAAATTATTGCCAGTTTAATAAAAATTTATTGCAGAGACGAATGTATTTTCTAATACAAAATCTTTATTTTATTTTTGACTTTATGTTTAATTCTACCCAGACTGGGCCCTGCGCATTCTTTTAGCATTAGGGCCCCGCGATTGCTAGGGCCGGCCCTGCAATTAGTGGACTAAGGTCAGAGTACTGTAATCAAAGGATCCCAATTAGTGAAGGCAATCAGTTGACTAAGATCGGAGTACTTTAATCAAATGACCCTAAATGATGAACGCAATCAGTGGACGCTAAAAGACTTCTATCAGGAAACACTTAGAATCCTTACTGCTTTAATGTTGTTAGCAATAAGACTTCGTTTTTATTTAAACAAGTTTATTACCATCTCCTGTTAACAGCTTGGCAAGGGACGATTGGGAACGCCCATGCATGTGTGTTTATGTCTGTAATATTGTGCGTATGTGAGATGCTGAGCGTGCGTGCGTGAGCCACTGCGTCCGATATTGGAACCGACAGCTCGGTATGGCCTGGTACGCCTGACTCCTGGAAATGCGCAATGCACACGGACAGCCCAGTCACAATCTCAAAAGGCTGAGCTCTGGAGGAGAAGTGGCGGCACCGGAGGGGGTGTTGAGAAGTGAGTTAAACTGACACGCCTTGGAAGTGTACACCCCCGCAGACGGGGAGAGACTTCAGACGCGGCCCTTGGGCCCTGTCAGTCTCGCGCACCAGGCCCGGCGCAGATCTTACGTTTATTGCGTGTGATTTATTGGGTCGCGGAGCGGGCCCTGAAAGTATTCCAGGCGCCCCATAAGTACACGTATGTTCAGCAGAGATGCTCGCACACAGAGAGATACAGCTCACATATCTAGTTCTATCTAGCTCACTCGTCCCTTCAGAGGTGATATATAGGTTTGAACTGTACTCTCTCATACAAAACTTCTTCAAAGTCCTTTTCTTTTCTTCAGTTGCTGGCGTAGAGAGTGGGAATTTGAGAAGTGAAACATTTTTCTTACAATTAAGGGATTTTTAGATGCCCCTGAAAGGGGAAAAGACATTATTAGTTTTGTGTGACATGTCTGTCCGTCTGTCCGTCCCGTTTAGATCTCGTAAACTAGAAAAGATAGTGAAAATCTGACACCATAATATTTTAGACCATTCAAAGTTATGATGCAACGGCTACTTCTTTTTCTGAAAGCGAAATTTTTAAATCACTAATGCAAGCAGTTTTTTCATAAAAATACACCACTTTTACAACTATTCACTATTAATAGTAACAAACAAGGGAGGCTCTTTAGAAAGGGAGATCACCATTCAGATTTCAGATTTTTTGTCAAGATATTTTTTGTATATGTATTACAAAGTTATGTAAGATCTATCATACTTGCTACAACAGTTACACACAAAAACGTTTTCTTGTTTTTAAAGAGACAAATCTATTTGAAATACATCTAAGTTGGACATAATTTTAAACAACAATTAATAAGAAGTTTTTCATATTATCGCGATAACTGCAAAGCAGGACATACACATAGTAAACTTATTTTTATTTTTTTCGGAAATGCATTTTTCTTGAGGATTTGAATAAGAAATTGACCCTTTACAAAACAATTAGATATTCATTATAAGACATCAGTTAGGCCAGGTTTACATTTAACTTCACATTCACTTTCACCTATCCTTTGGTCTGCGGGACCGCTGGGGCACCACACAAGATCAGTCAACCGTTTTTCCCTATTCTTCTCTGTAATTTGTCTTTGATAGAATTTCATTATGTTGTTCTGTCGAAAATATTGAAACCTGCCTATTTACCTGTCTGGGTGACCACATCGGGGGCCGATTTTGAGTTTGTGTTTGCACACAAACTGTCTTTGTAACCTTGTTGTCATGTGTGTATGTGTGTGTGTGATTGCTGACTAACGTTTGTTGTCCATTAGAAGTGTGTGTGTGTGTTTTGTAAGTGAGGTTGTTATTAATGTTTATTTCTTGTTTTTTTTTTCTACAACTAATTGTTTCGTTATTTAAATAATTGTTGTTTTGTTTTTCAAATAATTGTTGTTTCGTTGTTCGTCTATGATTGTTGTTTTTCCGTCTGATTGTAATCATGATTGTTCAGTAAACTTAAGTGTGTTTTACTTGCATTAAACTTAGAAGGCCTTGCTGTTATTCTAGAATGGCGCAGAGAACAAGAAGCCTTGGCTGAGGACAAGAGCTGAAGATTACAATCAAGACAATTCTCACAAGGTCAAGCTGGATCACTGTCGGTGTGCAGCCAAACATTACAGGCTCACTAAGGTCTCACCAGACATATGAGGAGGCACAAAATTGCAAAGCAAAGCCCTCACCCCCCCGGGAAGCATAGTGGCTATCATCGTATAACGATGAACGAGCAATACTGAAATATAAAGAAATATACAGGTCCGCTTTAACCGATTTGACCGATTGCTTCAATTGGGCTCAGCGGATGGCAGGGACCCCGCAATTTACATTAAGTATCCGTCACGGCTCTTGATACAGGCTTTTAACTCTTTCTCTCCTAATCAACGATACCATCGTTGATTTTGACCTCATTAAATTAAATTAATGTTTAATTTTTTAAACTTGACTTCGAATGATATCTTTAATTCTATACCAAATACAACATTTTCTGATAACAAACAACAAAGCTATTGAACCCTAATCATAACAAGGGTAGTGAAATAGTAATGAACAAATGAAGAATTCCTTCAAAACGTGGAAAAATAATTACGGAGAGAAAGAGTTAAAGATGTTGGACTTAATGGGTTAACGTTTGACGTAGAATTAATTAACCCACTGAGCCAATTTCATTTGAGTTGTTTCCTATGCATGTTGTATAACAAATGTTGGTATAGTGATCTGTAATAGTAAAATCTAGAAGAGTGGCCTCGCAAGCATCAAATCCGGCCCTGTATATAAACTGTACATCTACTCCCATCCACCAGGCCACCATCCCACCCGCCCCACTCCACCAAGTCCTGACCGACATACGCGCATCTATTGGCTACATCTGCCTTGTTTCCACAAATACAAAAAAAAAATATGACAGGTTGGGTTCATTAATAAGGCGCGAAAGAAAATATTTATTTAAAAATAACCCGAAAACCTTTTTGTCTGCACCTCGCTAAAAAATCTGGAAAGTTTGGCATTCAGCTTGTTAGCACGCGTGTCGTTTATGTGTGTGTGTGTGTATAAGAGAGAGAGACAGAGAGAGAGAGAGTGAAAGAAGGAGAAAGAGGGGGGAGGGATAGTTCCTGTATATCGTTGCGTTAGATTATAATCTTGTCTTAAATTGTTGAATAATACAACCGATATACCTTAGGGTATCGAGCACGTTATTTTGAAATTATTAGTGTATTATTGCATTTAGAAATAAATTTGCGGTTTACAATCTATAAAGTGGAAATTAGAAACAAAAGTGCGTTTTGCACTTTCTTCAAGTGTTTTAATTGGTTTCACTAGTTAAAACCTAGAATGCATTTAAATCAGCTTATAATTGATTTGTTAATATACTAATAGGTTACATTTATTAACAAAATTGATTTTTTATATTGTCAAGAGTAAGAAATAATTGTGCCGAATTTCAGCAATATCCCAGGTTGCGTTTCGGAGAATTGACGAGTAGAATTTTTTTTTTACCAGACAGACGGAGAGAGTTAACTCTTTCTCTCCAAACTGACGATACCAGCGTAAATAATTACGGAGAGAAAGAGTTAATTAATATAAGGTTTGTCAAACACAATAAAAACAATCAGGCGAGCGAGAAAGGGAGAAACATCAGCAGAGAAAGATTAGGAGAAGGGAAGAAACATCAGCAGAGAAAGATTAGGAGAAGGGAAGAAACATCAGCAGAGAAAGATTAGGAAAAGGGAAGACACATCAGCAGAGAAAGATTAGGAGAAGGGAAGAAACATCAGCAGAGAAAGATTAGGAGAAGGGAAGAAACATCAGCAGAGAAAGATTAGGAGAAGGGAAGAAACATCAGCAGAGAAAGATTAGGAGAAGGGAAGAAACATCAGCAGAGAAAGATTAGGAGAAGGGAAGAAACATCAGCAGAGAAAGATTAGGAGAAGGGGAGAAACATCAGCAGAGAAAGATTAGGAGAAGGGAAGAAACATCAGCAGAGAAAGATTAGGAGAAGGGGAGAAACATCAGCAGAGAAAGATTAGGAGAAGGGAAGAAACATCAGCAGAGAAAGATTAGGAGAAGGGAAGAAACATCAGCAGAGAAAGATTAGGAGAAGGGGAGAAACTTAAGCAGGGAAAGATTAGAGTTGCTTTAAAAATAATTACATAGTTTTTTATATATTATTTTTTTTTAAATTTCTCAAGAAATATTTTAGAATGTTGAAAAAAAAAAGAGTCCGACCCGACGAGACTTTAACTCGCATTCTTCTGATCCGAAGTCAGACGCCTTATCCTTTAGGCCACGGAGTCATTTAACATTGACAATGTATACGGATTGGCTCCCTGTTAGTCTTTTTCGTCGCCTCTAACGACCGTTTAGACCAGGACTCATGCTGAGGCTGGGATTTCGTCCTCTGAATGATCCTCTCAGCACAATAGTCTCCTCACTGCCCCAATAGTTCCCCAGTCCGATGGTTCCCAGCGCCCATAGTTCCCTCACTCTCCTAAAGTTTCTTCGTCGCACTCGTTCCTTGCCCTTTGCGCGGTTCCTCCACACCAATGGTTCCTCCATACCTTATGGATCACAAGCGTCAACTAGTTTCCCACGTTCAGGGTTCCTCGCTAATGTTCACCCCCTTTCCAGCCCCCCCCCCCCGCCCAAGGCATCAGTGTTTTCTCCTCATCCCAATAGTCCCCCCCCCTCCCCACCAACTTACAAATCGTAGCGTATCATCAGCATCTTGCTCTTTGTCATCAACCAGATAAAATCCCATTAACAAATGTGTCAAGCTATTTAATTGGCTGTGCCCAAGCACCCACCGAAGTGTGTCAACAGCTGTAATTGGCTCCAATTGCGTCTAATGTATCTCCGTTGATGTCTATTAACATAGGAAAGGAAGAACCGTTTGGGAAAGGGGGGGGGGGGTAGTCGGAGCGCTAAACCTAGATGGTCTATAATTACTTTTTGAGTGTACATTTACTTACTTAAGACCAGTGATGCCCACCCTAGTTTTTCCTGCGGCCCATTTCAATTTCGGACATTCGTGTCGCGGGCCACATTAACAAAAAGATATAAAAATGGCTAAACATTGACATGAAAATGGTTTCATTTCTCATTCCACAAAAAGTAAAGATCATGTCACTTTTCTGGTACATTCTACATTCAAATCCAACTCCAAATTCATAAGTATACAAATGTTAAAGATGGTACCAATTTATCAGAGAAAAAGACAGTCCCTAACGTATGTAAAGATAGTTTTAGACCTTTTTTTTTTGTTTGGAAAAAAAAAAGGGGGGGGGGATATTCTACATTTTTGCCAAAGTTTCGACGGGCAGGATGGAACCAAGCTGCGGGCCGGATTTGGCCCGCCGGCCGTATTTTGAGCATCACTGCTTTAGACTTTAGACTGCTACTACTATTTTTTCTACCACTATTACTGCCACTTATTGTTATTATTATTGTTTGTTATTGTTATTATTATTATTATTTATTTATTATTATTTTTTATATTATCATTATTATGTAAGACGATTTTATTTGCAACAGTTCTTCTTATCTTATATATATATAAAGCTCCTCGTTCGTGGTCGAAGATGAGCACATTTCTTATTTCCTATAGACTCGAAGATGACTGTTTAGTCCAATTCTCGCTTTAAACAGCCGGCCGCATACGTGGCATGGGTGGGTTAGGTCAGTTGCAGATAGGCCTGCTTCTTCTCTCAGCCTTTTGTTGATTCGTCGCTCTTTCAACCTTGACACTCTTCTTGCTTCAAATCTCAAGACTCCGAGACTCACAGCGTCCCTGGGAGCGCTTTCCTGCACACAACTCCCCGTACAAAAGTCGCTTGGGAAAGCGATTGTCTGGCATGCACATCGAAGTTGGGACCTTTTCACTGTCGCATTGATACTGTTCATGTTGGACAGCTTTAAGATTTCTGTGTCTGGTATGTGGTCGAACCATCGCACCTTATGATTACTCCTTAGACTCCTTGTTAATGAGTGCTTAGTCGTTAAAATATAATATGCTAAGTCATTGGTTTTCCTGGCTGATTTAGACAACCCGTTTCATGCATGCTCTAATGGCACTAGAGAAAAAGGGGCACTTGCTTATGGAATAAGAAATGTGCCAGTAGTTCATGTTTTTTAAATGTTGGCCGCAAATCTACGTGAGTACAAAAGCGAGAATTTGTGAATGGATCAAGTCCAAGTGATACTAGATCTGGGACCAATGTAGCAGGAGACGGGAAGTCTAAAAGGTTCTCAAACGCCTAAACAGGAAGGAGGAATGGTGGCAGCTAGACAGAAAGGATCGGGTAACTTTTGGCACTATTTCGCAATGGACACTGTCCGGTAGGAGCCTATTTCGCTAGGATCCGGAAGAATCACGATCCCAGATGTTGACCTATCATACTGTCACACGTAAGACGAGACGACTGCAGGATGCTCAGAAAAAGATACGGCCAGTCTTGGAACAGATAGAACTGGTGCATGCGGGGGTTTTGTCCTGTAGGAAGACAGGCGAACCCTACAGAACACTGCCAGATACCTGGACAATGCTGTAAGGGATTCACCCCAGCACGTAGCCTTAGTGCACAGAGGCTTACACATTTAAATATAGAACACCAAGACACTTTGTAAAGTTATGTTTCTCTGTGTATTTATAAAAGTGTCAGTTGCGTATTGACTGTGTACACTTCTCTTTACTTGATTTGTTGTAGCGTAAGTCTACTACTGAGTACTATAACTAGGATAGCACAACAAACATGTAGATTCAAGACTTAATGCCATAAGTAGCAGACATTAATATATTACGTATATAATAATATACTGGCAAGTCCAGCCATCAAGTCTCATTTCACAGAAATGAATGATAACACTCAATGAAATATCAAGTACACAACTAGTAATGCTTTCTACAACTTACATTTAACGTCTACATACTTCTAAGAACATGGTGACTACTAACTTCTAACCACATGGTCTACTATCAAAAAGCGAGTCTTACCCATAATTCCAAGCTGGCCCTTGCCCCCCCCCCCACGTGAAACACAATAAATTAGTGTACGCCTTGATTCCCAAGTAGGTCAGGTCAAACAATGTTGTGACACTCCTCATTCTCTTCCTAGTGACTTAAATTGTGTTGAAAAAAACAAACAAACATCGCCCTGGTCATATTCCTACAGGAGACATAAAGAACTTCGTGGACTGGGCGTGAATGATATAACAGGCAATGAGCTTTTTTGAGAGCTTCTTCTTTTTATTTTATAAGTTGCAGACGTTACTTCATGCAAAGAAATTATTTGTAAAAATCTTTCTATGAAAAACAAAGCTTATGTAAGGAAAAGAACTTCGCACTTACAGCGAAAAATCTCAATTCTGTAGAAGTTATTTCCCTTTTTCGATATCAAACAAAACAATTTATTACCAATAATTAATTGACTAATTGTTCTTTTTTTAAATTGGTTCGTGTCTTGTCTATGCCAATAAATAATTGTGCAAAGTTTCAACTTGATCCGAGATAGGGTGTGGGAGAAATACACTTTTACCAGACATACTACAGACAGACAGAGTGAGTTGATATAAGCTTTGTAAAGAAGAGGCTAACTTCTTGTGTCAATCTGGTCATTCATGTTAATCATGTCTCTGGCTCCATGCACTGTGTCACCATGTTGGCACAAAGCCACATCAATGATACTGTACAAATGACACCGCTTGTCTCCCTTTGTAAGAAATCTTTCTTTTCTTTGTGGTCATATAACAAATTTCCGGAATAAGCAAACAAACAAAAAAATCCTTTTAGAGTTTAAATGTACATAAACAATTCAATTGACACAAAGGCGTCTTTTTTTTTTTTGGTCAAAGAAATGTCTCTAATTTATAAGACACTATAAGATAAAATACTGCATTCAGACGCAGTTGCAAGGGAGAAAACATTTTAAATTTATTTCTCCACATTTAAAAAGTGGGATACAGAACAAAATATTTCATATAACTTGTAGTTCAATTTTTTTCTTTTCATCCACATTCCAAAAACAAAATGCTTCGACCCCGACGAGATTCGAACTCGCAATCTTCTGATCCGAAGTCAGACGCCTTATCCATTAGGCCACGGGGCCACATTAATATTTGCAATTGAGTAATAAATCTTTGATAATGAAAGCTTTGTTATTTAATTAATGCTAAAAATTAAAAGGCAACAAGTAACATTTATAAAAAAAATTATAAATTACAGATTGTAATTTTGAGTGATATTGCATGAGCTATTTTTTTTTTATCAATCATGTTGCTAATTCCTCGTAGATCTAGATAACAATAATAAATTTAAGCGATTTAAAATATTTTAATTAATGGGCGATGTTGCGCTTAAGCGTTTCGTTTCTTTGTTAAAAAACTAGAATTAGTCAATTGGGCCGGAAGTACCATTTTCATTATATATCTTTTGCATTTTTCAGTTCTCATTTTAACTAAACTGACATTATTATGCTTTAATTTTAAGTGTACTTGATAGAACAAAAATTCTGCACAAAAAAATACGGGTAGTTGGGATCAAACCCGATAGAGGCTATAAAAAGAAAAGACCTGAAAGAAGAGTATGAAACTACGCATTTACAGTACTTTATTAGGTGTGTCTTTTACCCAAGATCTATGTATTTTTTTTAATGGATTAGCTTATTTCAAGTACCAGGCATTTTGCGATGTAGAAATAAAAAGTGTAGTGATTTTTAAAAAGTTGTTACTGTAATCAATTGTGAATATTGGTTTGTTATGAATCTTATTGTCTATTGTGTGTCTGTTCTAGTTTCTTAATGTTTTCTTGAGTTAAGGGGTCGTGTTTTTTTCTGATGCTTATAACTGATTTCTCTTATCAGCTGCTGTGAGACATTGGTCCCAAATAATGCTAAGCTTATATATATATATATTAAAAAATCGCAAGTGAATATATGAATTAACTTGTTTTAGATTAAATCCATTAATTATAGTTGCTTTGAAAAATTGATCTCACACATGCCATGGACAATGTCATTAAAGTCATAGATCTATAAAATCTAGTTACAATCTGTAATCTATATAATCATAAATATTCAAGTTGAATTTCAATTGTAACTATAGAATCAGTATAAATCTACTTCTAGAATATATATATATATATATCTAGGTTATAAATATAGTAGAAATAGAATCTAAATTGTTCTCTCAGCCATTCTATAAGGCTCTAAGACATGGGTATTATACAGAAAGCTAAGACTAAGACTACTTGAACGCTTTCACCAAAGATACTTGAGCTCCATCATGGACATACGGTGGCAAG